ATATCTTCAGCTCACTATGTAACCAATGATAGCTTTGACCTTAGTTAATATTTTAAAAGTTTCATTGAGAGAGGGTGGGGGAGAGTGTCGCATGCACATAAGAGCACACAGGCACCTGCCCATCTGGAGATCAAGAGATAACTTTTAGGAGTCTGTTTTCTCTTTTCAGTATGTGGGTCCTAGGGATCAAACTCAAGTTGTCAACCTAAATGGCAAGTACTGTTACTTGCTGAACCATGTTACTTGCCTACCCTTGAACTTCTATTTCTCCCGAATGCTAGGATGAGAGGCTGGTGCAGCCACCAGGTCTGATTTGGGTCTGTGTTGTTACGTAGAATTGTACTTCCCTCTCAATGAATGCTCCTGAGGAAAACACCCAGCCTGCTTTTGTGAGGCTATGGAAGGTGTTCTCCAACCTCCGTTCCCAGCCGTGCTCTGTGGGGATAGGGAACTGGGACTCAGGGTAGATAGGATTGCAGTTTAGGTTGCCTGGTCACCTCCTTGTCAAGGGAAGGACGTATGAGAGGCTTAGTCCAGTCCAGAAATGCATTTTTGTATTGTTTGGGTTTCAACATGTAGCAGAAAACCCAAAGCAGAATGGCTGAAACACTGACCTTTGTGAGGATCTAAGGAAGTGATTTAAGGTATGTGAGAAATGAGGCTAAAAAAAAAAATCACTGGAGTTCTGATAAGCTATTAATCTAGCCCTGGTAAAGCACTGGCTGCTATTATCATAACCACAAGCTGAAAATTTTAGATTTCCTTGGGCCTGACAGACATTTATGTCTCTTGTTAAGTAAGGCCACAGGGTGGCCTGGTGGAACAGCTTTGGTCAGTGCTTCCCCTTCTTGTCTCAGTGCTCTGCCTTGTCCTCAGTCTGTAGTTTCTTGCCATGGCCTAGGGAGGCTCCTTAAACTCCAATGGTTTGCATGTAGCTTACTAGAAGGACAAAGGAAGGCATGCTTAGCTTCAGAGATATTTCCTGAGGCCCTACCTGAAACATCTGTTCATGTCCTTAGGGAAAATCTAAGTAGGTAACCCACCTATGAGGAACTCTGGGATGTGTCTAGGGTAGCCATGACTTCAGCTAAAGTTTCTGTTAAGAAGAAAGGAGGGGGGCTGGAGAGATGGCTCAGCGGTTAAGAGCACTGACTGCTCTTGCAGAGGTTCTGAGTTCAAATCCCAGCAACCACATGGTGGCTCACAACCACCCATAATGAGATTTGATGCCCTCTTCTGGTGTTTCTGAAGACAGCTACAGTGTACTCATAAATAAAATTAATAAATCTTAAAAAAAAAAAAAAGAAGAAGAAGAAGAAGAAGAAAGGAGGGAAAATACTGGAAGATGACAAACAGTCTGCTACAGAGTGACTTTGGGGAATTTGTAACAAGTTCCCAGAAGGGTTAAGCTAGGCTCAGTGGTAGAATATCGGGATAGCATGCAGAACATGTTGTGTTCAGTCCCTAGAACCACCAAGACAAACTAAAACTAAGCTCTCAGAGAGCCTTGGAGACTATTGTATAGAGCCATGCTCATTGATGTTGGCTGGTCTGGCATGGAAATGTGATCAGAAGAAGGAAGGCTTGGAGGTTTGAGTTGTAGCACCTGGCCTCCACGCCCTGTCTGGTAAGCTGGACGGGCCTAGGGGATCTTGGAAGCACACGGGGTGTGGGCCTGTGGCGAAAGTTTGTTAATTAGAAGCAGGCAAGCAGTCAAGGGATTTGGCTTCTGCTTGGTAGACTGTGTTCTTTGGCAAGATTGAGAGCATGAGGCAAGTTAGGTGCCTGGGGCCAGCTCTGAGGTTATACTCACTCTGGGATTCCTTTGCTTGATTCCCTGAGAGGAGGAGTGGTTTTTAGATTTTGTGCCCTAGGCATTTGACTCACTTCATCCTACTGGTCTGCTCTCTGGCAAGTGTGTTGTGGCTCATTAACTACTTTTATTGAGAAAGAAGCATATGCTTGGTCAGTAAATCAAAATGTAAGAGAACACACCATAGAGAAGGGCTCCCTTCCTCTCCAGCTTTTTAGTCTGTTTTTTGGAGTCTGTCTCACTGACCATGTGCCTTTGGTGCCTATCCAGCTGGCCTTCAGAATAGACCCTGCTGGGATTTCCTGAGGCATGCCTTCCCTCATCCTTTAATACAGTCATTGCCTCCTCTGCAAGCTGTGTTTACTTGTGTGTAGAAGTGACCATGTCTGCAGGGAGTCTGCAGAACAGTAGATGGAGGGAGAGAGGAGTGAGCCTGAGAGACTAGTGCCTGCTTGCTCGTGGGCTAAGGGTATGACACATGCTCAGTGAACCCAGCTAGGCTGTTGTGATGTCAGTTTTTGGTCTTTCTCTCTTGCCCCCTTTTCTCTGTGCTTACCTCGCCTTTGTCTCCTATCTCTGTCTTTTCTTTCCATTTCTTTGTATTTTGGTCTTTCTTCCCATAAGTTCATGCCGTCTATCTTCTGCTTCTTCTGTGGTCTTGCTTTCTTTCTCTTGTTTGTAGATTCTGTTCTGCTGTTAGTCAAGTCAGAATGTCTACGGTTTTTAACTTCATATAGTCCTAGACTCTAAGGGTACCTTGTTGCTATTGGATAGACTCACTCTCTTGGTATTCTGGGAAAGATAACTTACAGGCCCAGATTGGATCCATTGTTTGGCTTGAGCAAGTCTGAGGGGAGAGAGAGAACAAGTCCTAACAAAGAGAGAGACAGGCAAGTACTTCAAAATGTGCTTGCTGTATTATATTGGTGGCTGTTGTTTACTGGTGGTTGTTAACTGTGTATGTTAGCTGAATATGTATCCAGGCTTAGCCAGAGAGAACTTTGATCAGCAGTTGATTCCTGTGAAGATTTTTCAGCAGCACATGTTTGTTTTCCCACCAACCTACTTAACCATTATAACCCAACTCCATATAATTGCTTCATTATGTGTCTCCCCCCCCATATGACTGACTGGTGAATACCTTATTATGTGGAAGCATATCTTTTAATATTTTTCTTATGTGTATGTGTGTTTGCTAGCATATGTGTGTCTGGTTATCATATAGGTCAGCAAAAAGGCATCAGTTCTCCTGGAACTAGAGTTACAGATGGTTGTAAGTTACCATGTATGTGCTGGAAATTGAACCCTGTCCTCTGTAAGAGCAACTAGTGCTCTAACTGCTGAGCCAACTCTTCAGCCTTACTTGACAGCATATTAAGTGAGGCTCTTGAAACATACGGAGGCTATTTTATCACATGTGGTCATTTTCACAGCTGACCTTGAACACTTCTTTTGAGTAGAGAAAGGTCCACCTTTCTGATAATTGTCCCAGGGAACTGGCTGTTACCTGAAAGACATTAATACCTTGCCTCCAACCAGAGCTCATCAGCTCCCTCCCCTCTTTGCTGGTGTATGAGCTTTAGTCACGTTATAAATTGTTGTTTCCCTCTGAGAGTTTGTGGTCTTTCAGAAACAAGACTGAGATACCTGAGGAAGAGACTTCCTGCAATTAGATGTTCCCAGGACTGTAGCATTTGATACTAAACTGTACTGTGACTCGAGGATGAAGGGGAGAAGAAACTTGGGTTTGGGCTGCCCAGTTTATTTGGAGAAGGTTTTCAGAGGGAGTCGGGGCTGAGCTAGGCCTTGGAAGTAGATGTCAGTAGTGCTGTGGCATGAAGAGGGGAAACTCTTTGTATGTGTATCTGGCTTGGTCAGGGAGAGTCTACCTAAAGGAGTAACTAGGTGGGAGTGCGTGCGTGGCTGAGAGAATGGGCCTCAAGAGTTTATAAAAGACAACATTTAGGTGGGGGCTTACTTACAATTTCAGAGGGTTACAGCTGCATGACAGGAGCGTGGTGGCACTCATGGTACTGGAGTAGTAGCACAAGCTTTTGAAGCCTCAAGCCCACCCCTAGTGACTCAGTTTCTTCAACAAGGCCACACCTGCCAATCCTTCTAATCCTCAAACACCTCCACTCCCTGGTGACTAAGCATTCAAATATATGAACCTATGGGGACTGTTTGCACTCAAAACACCACAAGGTGTACATTAAGTTTTTTTTTTTTTTTTTTTGGTTTGTTTGTTTTGTTTTTGGAAGGTAGGGACAGTACTTAGAGGTATCACTATGTACTTTGTTGCTATAGGAGCCTTTGGATAATTGCTCTTATGTTCTCCCCTAGATCAAAGCTTTCCTTATTTTGTAGGAACAGAGTTCTCTCTGTGGGTTAAGCCTCAATCAACTAGCAGTTCACAGCCATCAGTAATCTACAGGGCTCAGATGTTACTGAGGTACATGAGTGTGCGTCTCAAAGGTAGCAGGGCTGACATAGGTCTAAGAAGCTCTCAGGAAGGCTCATTCTCTAAGGAATTTGATGAGAATTAGCAGGTTTGCATTGAGTAGGGATAGGAAGAAGATTTGGACTTGGGGATGCAAGCTTGGGAATGATAGTTTCCCTCAGCCTTAGTTTCCTCATGTATAAGATGGGGAACAGACATCTATATTTGGGGGGGTTGTGAAAATTAGTAGTCAAGGATACCTGTGAAATTGTCAAAAATATAACACACACACACACACACACACACACACACACACACAACTTTACGTGATTGGTCATCAGAAGTCAAATTTACCTTATTTGTTAATGGGTCTTTTTTGTCCCTACTGTCTGTGACTAGGGACAGGTCTTGTGCCTCTCACTTGGCGCCTTGGGAGTATGGTTGGGGAAGAGTGGATGAGGTGAGACTAACCATTCTTGGTGCTAGGGAACATTTCCAGAAATTGTTCTGGCAGTTTAGAGCATGCATCTGTTCATACATGCCCTAGTAGCTTAGGATACAGTGTAGGGTATTCATACGTTCTGAGCTGACCTGTGTGCTGTTTCTGCTGGTTACCTGTTCCAGTTTTCATTGTTCTATTGTCCCTCTAACTCAGCCGGGAAGGGCAGAAGAATCCTTTCCATAGAGAGTTTGAGGTCTTGTGTGCTCAGCCTAAGCCTGCCAGTAATACTATGGTTTTCCTTCTAGGTCTGCTGACATTTGTGAACTGTGCCTATGTCAAGTGGGGCACACGAGTACAAGACACATTCACGTATGCCAAGGTCCTGGCACTCATTGCCATCATTATCATGGGCCTTGTTAAACTGTGCCAGGGTAAGAGGGGCTGAGGTGGGAAGAAGGGTACATGTCTCCTGGAGTCTCTTTGGCTTCCTGAGGAGGCTATGGGGACCCAGCTAGCTTCATCTCTCAGCACATTTTGAGTATGTTCTAGAGTGTTGTTAGTGAACATGAGAGATGGTTATGAATCTCTTCCTGGGTTTTGTCAGCCAGGCTAGCTTGGCTAACTAACTGGACATGTTAAATGTCAGGTTCTCCTTAGGGCTTCTGTGGAAATATGGAGCATCGCAGAAAGCTCAGAAAGCTGAGTTCTTGAAACTTGCAGTATAATGGGGTCACTCATAGTTGTCATCTAGGGGTATAGATTACTGCATCCTGATTGTGGTCTGTAGTTGCCAGGCAGTGAGTGGGAAACCTAACTTTCCTGGAGAGGGGCAGCAGGGAAGGGGTGCATGGTCATTTTGCAGTATTTATTGTTTATCTAGATTTGTGTTAAGTTATTATATTGAGGAAGCTCCCAAAAAAGTCAGCTCTAAAAAATGTCAGAATGTTGTAAAATGGGCATTGTCTTTCCTGTGTTGGCCTTTCTTTTCTTCTTCTTCTTCTTTTTTTTTTTTAAACTTTTGCTAAGGATGGAACCAAAATCTTATGTGTGCTATTTTAAACTACCACTTAGCCACATCCTTAGTCTTTTTTTTTTTTTTTTTTTTTGAGACAGGGTTTCTCTGTGTAGCCCTGGTTGTCCTGGAACTCACTCTGTAGACCAGGCTGGCCTCGAACTCAGAAATCCACCTGCCTCTGCCTCCCAAGTGCGGGATTAAAGGCGTGCGCCACCACTGCCCGGCATATTTAAACATTTTTAAAGATAATGTCTTGAACTACATTTTGGGCTGGCCTGTAATTTAGCATGTTGCCCAGTTGCTGGGATTAAAGGCATGTACCACCATATACAGCTACATATTGGCTCTTGAAAGGTTTTCACTCTGGAGTCAGAGCAGACTGAGGCTAATGTGCTTTCCAGCATATCCTGAAAAGTCTCTGGTAATGGATATCTTCCTCATTTAACAGCCAGTTCTCTGTGTTACCAGTCCCTAAACACGGCTGTATTCACAGTCACCTCAGGAGCTGAGCTTTCATCTCAGACCTGTTGGTTTGAATTGAAAGTTAAAAACTTTTTATGTATGTTTGGTCCTAAAGACCTGCTACTCCAAGGATACCTAGACGCCTGGGTGTAGTTACTTGATACTAGTGCACAGAGTTCCTGGGTTACCTGCCTAAGAATTACCTAGTGCACTTCATAAAAGCACAGCCTTGAGCTAGAGGAGCAAGTGACTACAGCCAGGCATCTAGATGTCACCGGAGCCTCAGGAGCATCTTAGAGTAGAACTGGGCTACTGAGTAATCCTTCCTCTAAAATATGTGCCCTAGAGAACCACTGCTGTGTGCAGTTGCTGAGAACCCTGGAAGCTCTTGCTGCACACCTACACTTTTTTGTCACAGTGAGTTCTGGGTGTAACCTTTCTTTTTAATATTTTTTGGTTGGTGTGAATATGCCACATGTGTGTGGGTCCTGAGGAAGCCCGAAGAGGGCGTCAGATCTCCCTGGAGCTGGAGTTACAAGTGGTTGGCCACTGAGCCTTTTTTCTATTCCCAAGGCTAGGCTTTCTGCAGGGTGTGATGACAAGCACCTTAGAAGGCTGACTCCTGTTAACTCCGTGCTGTCTGCATGTCTGCTAGGTAGCCTTTCTATTTGCAGTCCTCAGAGGCCCCCAAGAAAGGTGACAATCACTTTAGCTTGGGTTGGTGCTCTGAAGGGTGGGGTTGGCCCACTAAGAGATAAGACCTCAGTTACTCTGTAGCCCTAGATTTCCTGCCCCAGACAACCACACCACACCTACTGCAAACAGACTGATAAAACCGCATGTCTAAATTGAACAGTGATCTGAGCCAAGACCTTCTGCTAGAAGGTCTGATTGTTAGTGGAAATGACTCCCTTGGGTGAAATGACCAATGACATCAAAGTAGGAAGAACTGAGGTCACCTGCAGGAAATGGACATTCCTAGGGCCTTGGAAGAAGTGTTCCTTCAGAGTGCAGCCAGACATGCTTTTGTTTTTGATTACCTAGTTTTACAAAATAAAATAAAACTTAAGTTGAGAGAGTAGATCGGGTAGTGAAATTTGGGGAGGTTCTGGTGTTTGTTCCTTTGGTATTAACTGATGGTTTTTTTTTCTTCCCCTGCCCTGCTTTATTTTTTTCTTTCTATCTGTTTTTTCTTTTGTTTCATCTTTTTAATTCTCCCTCTGTATCCTTCTTCATATTCCTTCTGTCTTTCTTCCTTCTCTTTTACCTGGTCTCCCACCCATCTTTGCCCCACAGGACACACTGAGCACTTTCAGGACGCCTTTAAAGGTTCCTCGTGGAACGTGGGAGACCTCTCTCTTGCCCTGTACTCTGCCCTCTTCTCTTACTCAGGTTGGGACACCCTTAATTTTGTAACAGAAGAAATCAAAAACCCAGAAAGGTAAAGGCGAGATCACATTCTCCAACTTGGCTGGAACTCCTGCTGATGGTGGGCACAGTTGCCCCTTTCCCATAGCTCCTCCCTCTACCTCCCCTCCCCTCATCCTCTCCCTGCTCCCCTTCTCCAGTTAGGAGGGGTTGGGGGCTAGGATGGGAGTGAGCGAATGTGGGAAAGCCCTGGCTCTCACCCTCATGTTCCATTGGAGAGCACTCAGGGTCCTTCCTGGAGGAGAGGTCTTTAGCAGCAGACCCAGCTGGGGCTGAGGTGGCAGGACTTAGCCCTGTGGTGCTGAGACTGGCCTGAGCAGCCTGGCCTGTTTCTGGCCTACCAGATCACCAGCCCAACCTCTAGTTTCGAGAGGCTATTGCTCCTTGCATTTATCCTGAGATCATAGATGCAAGAAGGTTAGAAAGCCACATTGTTAGGTTCATGTGGACCTAACCTGATAGGATAAACTAATCACGAGTCCTTTCTCAGGGAAAGTGCTCTTCTTAGTGGAAAATGCCCAAGAACATGGGAAGCATACCCACCCTGGGGCGAAGCATACCTGCCCTGGGGTGAAGCATACCCGCCCTGGGGCATACAGGGAAGAGGAGCTCATCTCAAAGACCTGGCAACCAGTGAACTGTTAAATGTTAGGAAATTTCCAGTGGGTGCTGGATGGTTTTTTACTCTCAGCAGAGGTTGGCTCTAGGTAGTCTTATTTCACTTGTCCTCACAGGAATTTGCCCTTGGCCATTGGGATTTCTATGCCAGTTGTGACACTCATCTACATCCTGACAAATGTGGCCTATTACACAGTGCTGAACATTCAGGATGTCCATAAGAGTGATGCTGTGGCTGTGGTGAGTCTCTTGGGGGAGAGGGGTTGTCCTCATTTGCTCCTGTTCTTCTTATCATGAGGGTCCTATGGTGCTTAGCTCCTAAACGGTGTGGTCTTTTCCTGCAACTCTTCTGGCTCCACAGTGTGAGGGATGGGTCTAGATAGGGCAAGCAGTGGGCGTTTTAGCAAGGACTGCCTTTGTTCAGAGATCACAGCTATAGGAGGGGTACAAAACTGTCCTGTGTTGAGTATTCCTTCTTTGCTCTGCTTTCAGACCTTTGCTGACCAGACCTTTGGCATGTTCAGTTGGACCATCCCCATTGCTGTTGCTCTGTCCTGCTTTGGGGGCCTGAATGCATCCATCTTTGCTTCATCAAGGTACTTGGGTTTCTGATAATAGACTGTTTTCAGCACCCACATGGCAGCTCACAACCATTTGTAACTCTAGTTGCAGGGGTGCCTATGGAAGAGTAGTAATTCCTCTTAATTGATGTTCTATCTCTTCAGTCCCACAATGGCATCTCAGAGAAGGGCTATGCAGTCCCAGCTGAGACAGGAGGATCCCAAGGTTGAGTCTAGCCAGACCTACATAGGAGTCCTTGTCTCTTTAAAAAAAAAGAAGAAAAGAAAAGGCCAGTGTGGTGGCTGTAAATTTGTGTAATGGCAGAATAAGGGTATCCCTGGTGGGATGGGGATGCCAGTAGGTGTGGGAATGCACAGCTTCGGTGGGATGTTGGGGAAGGGATCTGGTTCAGAAGTAGCAGCATTGGTAGGTGATAGTGATTTCATTGCTGAGGGTTTGGAGTGGTTAATGGATAATGGTGGGTGAGCATTCCTGGGTAGTGGTGAGGTGTTAAGAGTTAAAGACATTTGTGGGTAGCATGAGTGATGGGCTGGGTGTAAGTGGAGCCTGTGACGGTGGCTTCTGTCCCCCCCACTCCCCCGGGGCCCTGAGCTTAGTTTATCTGAGGAGTGTGACTGGCTAAGAGGCTGCTGACACATTTCATCCCCTTACAGGTTGTTTTTCGTGGGCTCTCGTGAGGGCCACCTCCCGAACCTCCTGTCCATGATCCACATTGAGCGCTTTACACCTGTGCCTGCCTTGCTGTTCAATGTAAGCTCTGCAGGGAGAGTGTGGGGCTTGGGCAGGTTTGTGCAGGATTCCTAATTTACACTGTACCTTAGGCTTGGTTCTGAGATTTGAAGCATAGTTCATTATCTTTTCTCTAGTGTTTGGGATGGAACCCAGGGCCCCATATAAGTTAGGCAGACATTCTACCTGTCCCATACTCTTAGGCACTATTTATTCATTTTTCTCTGCCTCCAGACAAGGTCTTCTCATGTAATAAATTGGTCTTGAGCTTTAGACCCTCTGAAGGGCTTTTTTTTTTTTTTTCTTAAATCCTTTGTTGATACATCAGGGTAAAAAAGACAGGTGGATAAATTATTTTTTAAGTTTAAGCAAGTCTTAGCTTGTCTTAGAAAAGCTGGTCTCTGAAACCCTATCTACTAGGATACTTTCATAAAAGAAGACAGGTAGTCATCCCTCTTTGGAGTGGGCATGGATCCATTTTGGTCCTCTCCCTTTCGAAAGCTCCAGGTCACTGTGATGCTCCTGGAGGCATTTTTTTCTGGGTGTATGTCAGGTAGCTGGGCCCTAGGCCTAAAGAACTCTAGGTTAACAGTGTAACTGCTATTGTGGTTGGTTTGTTGAGGGCCTCCCTGTCAGCCATCAGAAAGGAAGCAGAATCTACCTCGTTAACCACAGTACTTGCAACAAGGGGGAGCACTAAGAATAGGCAGAGGTGGCGATGTTGCCTTGAAGGTTAATGTGGGTACTGGACCTATCTGTCAAGCAAGAGTCACTGGAAACCAGAGCTAATCTGGTAAAGCTATTTCAGCTGTGACAGACTGCTGGATGGCTGCATCTCCTGGTATGGCTGGAAGTAATGATACTCATTCCTCTTGTCTACTACCTATCTATCCCACAGTGCACCATGACACTTATCTACCTCGTCGTGAAGGACGTTTTCCTGCTCATCAACTACTTCAGCTTCAGCTACTGGTTCTTTGTGGGCTTGTCCGTTGTTGGGCAGCTCTACCTTCGTTGGAAAGAGCCTGACTGGCCTCGACCTCTCAAGGTCAGCACCTCCTCCTCCTTTCCCCTCCTCTTCTTCCTCCTCCTTATCCTTCCTTCCTTCCTTCCTTCCTTTCTTTCTTTCTTTCTTTCTTTCTTTCTTTCTTTCTTTCTTTCTT